AAAAAGAAAACAAAACAAACAAAAATCCAAAACAAAACAAGAAAATAGTGTGAAACTGCCACAGGCAAACACAGCCCTGAATAGAACCAAGGTTAACTGACCCATATCTTAGGTGGATGGGTCTTGGAAGTGTTCCAGAAAACCTTGACGGAGAAGTGGATGGAGGGTGGGGGCCTACAATAGTGCTCCTAAACTTCTTGGACTCTGCAAATATCCCAAACTGGTCTTCCCAGTTCTAGTGAAAGAACACAAATAAACAAGCACACACAGACACCAGGAAAACTGTCTACTTTTGCCTGTCTACCACTTCTATCATCTAGGCTGTGGGGTCTCTCACCAGGCTATAGCCCAACTTCTTTAGAGCTTAGAAGGACCAGCGGATGAGACATGCAGACAACAGGCAGACCGGGAAACTGCAACTCATGCAGTTTCCTAGTTTTCCTACTGCAATTTTCTAGTTTTCCGGAGACTCCCATAGCAGAGGACTAAAGAGCTCAGTTTATCAACAGATAAGCCCACCCACCCACCCACACAGGCCTCTTAATCCTTAGTGGGTTGGACATGGTGGCATATGCCTATTACACTGGCATTCATGAACCTAAAGAAGAATAAGAATTTGAGGACAGTCTGTGAAACCCTGCCTGAAAAAAAAAAAACCATTCCTAGGTGGGGGATGAGAGTGGGTGGGGATGTAGCTCAGTTTGTGTAGTGCCTGCCTAGTCTGCATCCTGGGTTTGATCCTGCAGAAAACCAAAAAGAAAATCTTTGAGGACCCCTTCAGTTGACATCTGTCCCTGCAGGTCAGGTTCACACTTGAGCTCTCTTGCCACAAGAGCTATGAGGGGTAAACTGAGGCTGGAGTGGAGTCAGGACATATTCTGGCACCGCTGTCCACCTTTGCTCTCTTTTACTCACAGCTGAGGAAACTGATGGTCATGACCGAACACCCGAGGGCAATCTTTGCTGTCAGTCAGAGGGAACTCCCCAGCCTTTAATGCAAGGTCCAAGAGGCATTCCAGGTCCAAGAAGCATTCCAGGTCCCTCCGCCCAGAGCCCAAGGAAATGTCAGTGGTGTACCAGAAGCATCAGGGCCTCGGCCCTCAGGAAAAGCTTCTAAGGCTCTTCTCAGAAGGAAAGATAGGACTTGTAGATTGGAATTAGGGTTTAAGACACCAAAGGGTCAATTCCTCCCCTACACACACACACACACACACACACACACACACACACACACACACACACACACTGTGCAGGGCAAGTCCTTGAAAGAGCCCAAGCTTAAATGGGAGAAAGACTCTGGAGTTCTGGAGACACTAGGCCTGGCCTACAGTATTGCCAGGCTCCCCTGCCCCCAACCAGGACAGAAGATGAGTCAGAGGCTGTGGCCAGGAGCTTCCTCCTAGACGTGGAGGAAATGAGCAAAGTTTCTCAGACTGGCAAGCTCTGAGTGGCTTAAAAAGGGAGTCCCCAGAGAAACTGGAGCCCAACAGGGTGAGGGGTAAAGCCCCAGGGAGGCTGTAGGGTTTGTGAGGGTGATAGAGGCTATACCCAGAATGGGAGGACAGAGGTCTTTTGATTATAATCTACTTTCTGCCAGACAACTAACTACACCGCTTCATTCAGCAGTGGATAGCGAGAACCTGTCACCCCATTTTTGCCCTATAGCCTACAACAGGGATGCCTGGGTTTCTAGACCATCTCTTCCTTCGAGAAGGTAAGCAAGGTATACTCAACTCATGCCTGTTCTTCTGGGGCACCCACTTAGAGGATCTGGAGAGGAACCAGCTGTTGACATTTCCTGCAGGGAGCCCTGATCTCCTCCTCCCTCAGTTCTCTGATGTCCCTGCCCCTGCCCTGTTCTCAGTCCCTCTTCCTCCAGCCTTCTATTTTGAGTCTGTGGTCACAGTTTATATTTGGGACAAGCACATCACAGTGCATCTGACCATTCCTGGCAAAGCTGTCAACTCCGGGGAGTTCTGGCTCTAAACAGTGTGGTAACTTTATGCCTTTCCCAAAGCCTCCCAGTGGGGGAAGGGGCAGTTTTCCGTGCAGCAGGTAGGAGATCCTGAAGGTGGTCAGACCAAGAAGTACAGAGCTGGGGAAGGAAACACATCTTTCACGGAGCTCAGTAATGTCCTCCGCTAAAGAGCAGAGAACAAGACACAGCACCTGGTTGGGAAGACAGTCTTATATCCATTCATACTTCAATACACTCACACACACAACCCAGGGGCCTTGCTGTACAGGTTAACAACATGAGGTAAGTTTCCTAAATGAAGAGGAGGCTCTGAACCTCATTTTTTAATAACCCAGGCCTGCTCCCAACTGTGAAGAGGGATGTCCTGGAGGGAATAAGAGAACTATTGCCTTCTCTCTAGCCTTATGTATGTATGTATTTGTGGTACAGGAGATCAAACCCAGGGTCTCGCACATACTAAGCAAATGCTACAGCCTTAGCCCCCAACTTATTTCTGGCCAAGGGCTTTTATTAGTTTAGAAGCTAAGCAGTCTCAGTTCAACATCTCTTTCTCTCTAGTCTGTGTTAACAGTTCGAGTTCAGTACCCTTTTCTCTGTAGTCCGACTAAATGCCATGTGACCTCAAACTGTACATGTTTTCTCCAGACCACTCTGAACAGAACAGGAGGAGCTGACCGCACCAAAACTCTGGGGGTGGGCAGTATGTGGCATCCTTCCAGCTGTGGTCTTAAAGCTAGGGCTATGCCTGGACACCCGCCACTCCCCAGGCCAAGTTTCCCCGACCCCTCCTGCCTGCACTTGGAGGCAGGGCTGGCTGCAACGCAAGGAATGCAGTCTGGGGGCCTGGAGCTCAGGGCACATTCCAGGGGAGACCCCGGGCCTAGGGGCCATGTTTGCGCAACTCCGCGCCCAGTTGAGGCACCCCACCGACTCTCTCCCTTCTTCCTCACAGCTCCCAGCTAACCCACAGGTCGGGAACCCTGGGGGGTGGTAGCCTGTACGCCTCCGGGAGTCCTGGCCCGGAAAAAATAAGCCGGAAAGGGATGCCTGCGGGGGGTTGGACAAGGCGAGCTGGAGGGGAGGGGTGGTCCCGCTGGCCATCTGGAAATGAGCCTCTCCAACTGTGCAAAGTCGGCCGAGGATCGACGGCAAACTAGGGTAGGCCAGCAGTTTAAATTAGACTGGCCCGCCCCCTCCCTTCCAGGCGTAGGCTACCAGCGGCAGGCCTAAGGGACCATGGGGGCGGTGACTCAAAGGGCTTTTCCACCCGTGCGTGCTCCGCAAAGCTAGGGCTCGGCTGCTTCCAAGGGACTCATCTCATCCTGGCGGACACTCCCAATCTCCGGCAAGAGACTGTATTTCAAGGACCCACCGGAGCCTCTAGGTTCTAAACCCCGGCCTCCGTTCTAGGTCCTCCCTAAGCCCGGCCCTCTTTGTGGCCCCGCCCCCAATTTACCTGAAGCAGGTGGAAACCGGTCCCTCCCCAACTCCACTTCCCCGATCCGCTACAACCCAAACGGCTACTGACCCTCTGCCCACAGCAGTGACTCTGGCAAAGAGGCAGCGAAGGGACCCCAAGCACCTCTTCAGGAGGGCCTTAACTTTCAAGGGACGCCTGGGTGGAGCAAATCACAACCTCTCATTTTCCTTCTACAATGTCTCAATTTGAGAGTCTCCCCCTGTAGGCAGAGTAGCGTAGATCGTGGGACCCCGGCCGCAGACTTTTTCCGGAGGCGAGCATCCGCTACAGCCTCTATCCTAAAAGCACTGCCCACCGCCCACCTCAACCTCCGAGCGCAAATTCCTCCGCAGCCCCCTCACCTTGAGAGGCGCCCCCAGGAGGCGATGCAGGGCAGGAATCTGCGCACTCAGGGGCAGAGCCCCGTCCAGGCTGCAGGTGGGGGCCCGGCGTGGTTCCGGGAAGTTGGCACATGCGAAAGGGTCGGTGTCTTCCAGGTACTGCACTCTCACGGTTACCACTGATACCGGGTCCCCATCCCCGCGCTCTTCCTCGCCCGCCATGGCTCTGCCACCGGCTACCACTGGACGCCTCTGTGTCCCTGCTCCGCTGCAACTTCAACCCGACTAACTTGGCTGTTTGGGCCGGGCCCCGGACGCTCGCTGCCTGAGGGGCGGAGCCAGAGGGAGGTGGGGCTGAGGAAGGGGGTGGAGCCAAGGCTTGGCCCGGAGCGCGCGCTTGGGGTTAACCACCGCCGGAGGCGGCGCTTGGGTCGGCCACTCAGAGAGCTGGTGATCCCGTTACTTCCACTGGTAGGAGGGCGGGAAAACCCGAGCTCCCGCTCCGCCTCAGAGCAGAGGGCGGGGAGACTTTCTTTAGGTTGGGTATGGGCGAGGCTGCAGCCGGTCTTTGCGGGGATTTTAGGGCAGTTTGGGCTTAAATCTCATCGTAGAATCTCTTTGAGCCGGGCCACTCTCAACCAAGGGACGAGACGGGACTAATCACCAGCTTGAAAGAGCAGTGAAAGCATTTCTCTCATTGGAGAAAGCCGTGAGAAGGATCTCTTTTAGTTTGGAACAAGAAATGAAAATAGATTTCATATTTGAAGGAAGAGGTGGATTCAGTCCCCTTTAGCTGTGAGGGGGAAAAAAGATGAGTGCTCTTTCTCGAAAAAGAATGGAATGAGTCAGTGTGAGGAGGCAGGTAGCACATGTTCCTTCGGCTTGGGTGATGAATGAAAAGTGGAGACAGCCTTGGGTTTGGGGCGAGATGAGTCAAGTGCCCCAAGTTGTTCCTAGTTTAAGGGGAATTCCATAAGATCCTCTCAGATACATGGAATAGGCGAATAGTTCCCTGTAGTTTGAAGGAAAGGGAAGGCGGTGCCTCTCCGTTCTGGAGAGGAATAGCCTTTTCAACCTGGAATGAGCTGGGATCGGTCCCGGCCTTGAGGTTTCTGGATACGTTGAGGGCATCGGTGTCCATCCATCAAGGCTTTCTGGGAGTGCTCAGTGCGCGTGCGCAGCTCCGGTCTGCGAGTGGGCCGGCAGGGGGTCCCAGGTTTGGGAGACTGTGTTGGAAGGCAGCCCAGCGCGCCGCCCCCTGCGGTTTTCACAGCGTGGCTCCGGGACCCGCGGCCTGGGCACCAGGGGCCGGTGTCCCGCGGCTGGGCTGCGTTCTGCGGAGGAGCCGCGCTTGTCTCTGCCCCCCGAGCCCCTTGTCCTTTCCGCTGCCCCTGGGACGCGGTGGCTGGTCACCTCTCTGAATCCGGGTGAGAGGCGGTGTAGGGGAGCACACTCGAAGGAGTGGGTTTCAAGGCTGGGGAAAGGAGGGCCACGCTGGGCAATTTCCGGAGATTTGAGACTAACCTAGAAGAGATGGAGGAGGGGATCCCAACAAGAGTCCTGGGCAGGGTCTCGGGGTCCGAACCTGGCCTGGGGGCATGGGAGCCCGGATTGGGGGGAGTGAGCCCCACGTGCCTGTGACGCGGGGGCGCCGGGTAGGCGGCGGCGGCGGCGGCGGCAGCGACGCGGGGCCGGCGGCCGTGCAGTGCCGGGAGGGTGGCGAAGCAGGCTGCAGGATGCCGCGCGCCGCACTGCTTCTGCTGCTCTGGCTGCTCCTGGCGGGGGCGGGGGCCACAGACGAACCCACCCAGGAGTCGGTGCCGTTGGGTGAGCCTCCTCCAGGCTTGGCGCTCTTCCGCTGGCAGTGGCACGAGGTGGAGGCGCCCTACCTGGTGGCCCTGTGGATCCTGGTGGCCAGCCTGGCCAAAATAGGTGAGTGTGTATGTTTGTGTTTGCGCGCCCGCGCACAGGCCAGCGGCCCGCCGCGGATCCGCCTCCAAACCCCTGGGTCTCCAGATCCAGTCCTGGGTCTTCCTCTGCGCTCGAATTCCACAAATCTCGGTTCTCACCCAGTTCCTGCGCCTCTTGTGGGTCTGCCTCCTCCCCTTCTAGGTTGGCAGTTCAGAGGATTTGCCTTTCTAAAGGGCTGCCTGTCTTTGCTCGCTTCAGCTCCATCTTTAGACTGTTTCCTCAATTTCCCCTTCCCCTTCTCAGTAAACGTCAGTAAGGCCTCTCCTCCAGACGTCCAGCCTCTCAGAAACCTGTCAGTAATGAGGACTCACGGGGACGTGGAAGAGATGATATTCTCCTGGGAACCCAGGCATTCTGGTTCCGAGAAATTATCCTTCCCTGGCCAAGAGTCTAAGATTTAATATCTCCTGAGATAACTGTACTAACCTGTCACTTTTCCCGTAGCTTATCTCTCCACCCCACTTAAAGATGTTGCCACCTTCTTGCGCCTAAGTGCGACCCCGCCCTCCAATTCACATTCTTCTCTTCACGATTTTAGAAACTTAAGTTTATTGGGTCTTTATTGTGTTCTGACTACCCTGGGCGCTTTTGTATATGAGACTCTTGTAGTCCTCACATGGAAGTGCTTCAGACGCACACATCCCCCATAAGAGATGCTTTTCCGTGCCTCTCTCCCCCTTTCTGACAGCCAGAAGCCCCTCCTCCCAATGGAGACCCTCCTCCTTGCTCTCTGTTGTTCAAGCTCTGCTGTGGGGGTGACTAATTATAGCTGAGCGTTGCTACTCCTCTCCATCTATGCGGGCACAGCTTGTACTCCAGTCTCACCAATGAAGCCTTCATGTAGGAATCTCACAGCCTAGAGTTTGCCCCCTTCTCCTCCTGGGATATTGCTAGGGTATAGAGTATAATCGAGCTGGAATAGAACTCTCCACTCCACCTTGGCAGCCCAGGATTAATACTGGAAAATGGAACTCTAAATATCTTCAGGGAACCTGATTCTGCCAGAGAAACTGACTTTGATAGGTCCTGGACTTGCAGGGCTGGGCTGATATGTGGTGAGGGGCGGAGAAGGGAACCAACCGAGGATGGGGCTGAAGGTAGGAAGATCTATGCCTCACCTCTCCCTACAGTCCCAGCAGCAGTGGCAGCAAGGTGGGGGAAGAAGCTTCAGGTTGGGTTTGCTGAGAAACCCCTGGATTGTAGAAGAGTTCCTGTCTTAAGATTTACAGCACCAACATCATAGATAAATCGTGCCTTTTCTAGTTTGGATAACACCTCCTAGAGAGGAAGGAGAGGTCATCCTCTCCAGCTAAAAAAGATCCTCGGAGAGGAGGAGAAAGAGAAGCAGAGTATTCCAGAACACTTTCCAGTTTCATAGCTAAAATGTCCTCCCTCCTTTCATTCAACACAGGTTGATATACTCTTAGCCCTTTGGATGATGCAGTTTCTAAAGGGCATTGCTTTGGCACAGGGCTCAGGTTAATAAGACCCTTCCTCTGCCAGTGCCTGAGAGACTGTATGGGGCATAGTCTGAGAGCCCAAGGGAGAACCATAGTTTAGGGACAAAGGTAGGAGAACCAATAATATTGGAAATCCTTTTCTTACACCCTCCTCTTTTCCTAGAGACATATAGGTTACTTTTCTCCGGAGTCAAATTAATATTTGTTGAGAGCCTACTGTGTATCTGATCTGACAGTATACTAGGCACATTTGCACATTTCATATGTTTTATCTTTGTGATGGATATTTTTCTTATACTAAAGAGAAGAAACTGAAGTTTAAGTAAATCAAATAACTTGCCTGACGGGCTAGAGAGATGGGTCAGTGGTTAAGAGCACCTCTTGTAGTGGACCCAGGTTCAGTTCCCAGCACCCACATGGCAGCTTAGAACTGTCTGTAACTCAATTTCCAGAGGATCTTACTCCTGTTTGTGACCTCTGTGGACTCCTGCACTCACATAGTACACACATACACATAAAAAATAATAAATAAAATAAATCTTTAAAAAACTTTCCTGGCCGGGCGGTGGTGGCGCACGCCTTTAATCCCAGCACTCGGGAGGCAGAGCCAGGCGGATCTCTGTGAGTTCGAGGCCAGCCTGGTCTCCAAAGCGAGTTCCAGGAAAGGCGCAAAGCTACACAGAGAAACCCTGTCTCGAAAAACCAAAAAAAAAAAACAAAAAACAAAAAACAAAAAACTTTCCTGAGTTCACATCATTAGAAAATGATAAGGTCAGAAGACATTTGAGACCTGACTGTTATACACAAAGCTATTGATTGATTGGTTGATTGAGACAGAGTACTATGTAGCCCTAGCTAACTTGGAACTCATACTCACGTAGATCTACCCACCTCTGCTTCCTGAGTGCTGGGATTAAAGGCATGTGCCACTATATCCAGCTACACAAAGCTTTTTAAACTGAGCCAGTATGATGAAATATGTACATTAGGTTGGGAGGCCTACAGTGCTTCTAAAATGAGCTATGTGTGTATATAATATAATACTATATTAACATAGATCATGTTATATTAATAGCAAACATTTATCGAGTGCTTACTATAAATCAGTGTGCTAAGTGCTTTTTTTCTTGGGTGGGGGTGAGAAATAGCCTAGGCTAGCCTTGAATTGAATTCACTATATAAACCAGATTGAGGGGCTTTAGAGATAGCTCAGCAGTTAAAAAAAGGCATTGGATACTCTTGCAGAGGACTCCAGTTTGGTTCCCAGTACACTCATGGTAGCTCCCAGCTGCCTGTGATAGCTGTTCTAGGGGATCTGACACCCTTCACTGGCCTCCTCAGACACCAGGCACATACATGATGCACTTACATACTCATTCACATAAAATAAGAATAAATGAAAATTTAAAAAATATCCCAAACCAGGTTTACCCTGAATCCCAGCAATCCTCTTACCTCAGCTTTCCAAGGGCTGGGATGACAGGTGTGGGCCACTTACTCGGTTGTCTGCCCTACAACCAGTTCCTGGAGATTGAATCTAGAACCTCATAACTGGTAGAATATACTTTGCCATCCAGTGTTCTATAACCGAGCTCTGTCCTGACTTTATTTTGAGACAAGCTTGCCAAATCGATCATTGGTCTGCTCTACCAGGCCTGGCTCTAAATGCTTATAAGTAGGTTGTTTTACTTCATCTTCACAACCAACCTATTTATTCCCATTTTGCTGATGCAAAAACTGAGAGTCAAAGAATGAGTAAATGGAGGACCTAGTCTTGCAGCTAATCCCCCCCTCCCAGCAATCTTATGTATGCTATAGAGACACTGGTTAGCATTTGCTTAACTTCAGATGGTTGCTGTGGATAAAGGAGGTCAGAGAAAAATGCAGTCAGTCTCTGACTTGGCAGTACAGAGGAGGGGGCATTTCAGAAGGGGGTGGGGTAGGCAAGCAAAAGCCTTGCAGCCACAGAGAGTTTGTAGCATTGGAGGCTGGGGGTTCTAGAGATTCTGTATTTCTTTCTTCTTCCATTGATCCTAGAGCCAGGGATCCTAACTTTGGGTAAACTGGTAAGACAGAATACTATAGGCCAAGCCGGGTGGTGGTGGCGCATGCCTTTAATCCCAGCACCTGGGAGGCAGAACCAGGCAGATCTCTGTGAGTTCAAGACCAGTCTAGTCTACAGAGTGAGCTCCAAGATAGACACCAAAACCACACAGAGAAACCCTGTGTGGGGGGGGGGGGGGAGAATACTGAGATTGGGGAATGATTTAGCTCAGTGGTAGAGCGCTTGCCTAGCAAGAGCAAGGCCCTGAGTTTAGTCCTCAGCTCGGGGGTGGGGGGGGGGCAGGGAATACTGTAGGCCAGGGTATGGGAGGACATTCCACGGCTTCATACCCGTGTCTTCTTGCGTTACAGTCTTTCACCTGTCTCGGAAGGTGACATCTCTGGTCCCTGAGAGCTGCCTGCTGATTTTGCTGGGCCTGGTGCTGGGAGGCATTGTCTTAGCTGTGGCCAAGAAGGCTGAGTACCAGCTGGAGCCAGGGACCTTCTTCCTCTTCCTGCTCCCTCCTATTGTGCTCGACTCAGGCTATTTCATGCCGAGCCGTCTGTTTTTTGACAACTTGGGTGCCATCCTCACGTATGCTGTGGTGGGCACACTCTGGAATGCCTTCACAACAGGTGTTGCCCTTTGGGGCCTGCAGCAGGCTGGACTTGTAGGTGAGTAACCCTAGGACCTGGGCTGTTTAAAGAAAAAGAGCCTTGCTAGCTCCATCCCCTAACTCCTTTCTCCAGCTCTGAAGGTCAGATGTGGTGAGTTCCCTGGGAGCTTGGTTGTAGGTCCGTCCACCTGGCGTGCACGGCAGTGCTCCAGATAGTCTTCAGTCCTAATTTTGGTCTCTGCCAGTTGGCTCTGTGCCTCTGCAGCATGGCAGCTGAGCAGGGGCCTGGTTCCCAGCTGTGTGTGGGCTGCTGAAGTGCCGGAGCCTGCCGGAGCACTCTCACCTCCTGCCCTCCGTCACCACGTCACCACGCTGCCACTTGCCAGTCCTGCTTCCTTGAGGTACTGTGGCTCACCAGTCCTGCAAGGATTTACAGTTCTGGATATGCCCAGGCTGTGCCAGGTGGTTTCTAGTCTTTATTTCTAATAAATACGTGTTTTACATCTATAAAATGCTAGCTGCTGCACTAGACATTCTTTCTGAATGTCTCTTCCTAAAGACTCTGGTGAGGTAAAATTTACCTCATTTTTTTTTTTTTTTTTTGGTTTTTCGAGACAGGGTTTCTCTGTGTAGCTTTGCGGCCTGTCCTGGAACTCACTTGGTAGCCCAGGCTGGCCTCGAACTCACAGAGATCCGCCTGGCTCTGCCTCCCGAGTGCTGGGATTAAAGGCGTGCGCCACCACCACCCGGCCTTACCTCATTTTTTTTCAAGATTTATTTTATGTTCATTGTTTTTTTGCCTGCACACACACACACACACACACACACACACACACACACACACACACACACACGTATGTGTGTGTGAGGGTGTCAGAGCCCTTGGAACTGGAATTACAGACAGTTGGGAACTCCATGTGGGTGTTAGGAATTGAACCAGGGTCCTCTGAAAGAGCAGTCAGTGCTCTTAACCACTGAGCCAGCTCTCCAGCCCCTGATTTACTCATCTAATGGAAGGGAAAGTCGAGCCCCTTATGTTCATTCATACCAGGGCCCGCGATTAGCCTCTGTTTGGTTGAGGCTCTGCATTTAGGCCCTTTCCCAACTTCTTTATTTCCTGACTCAAGAAATCCATTCAGTCCTGATATTGAAAATTCAGACTTTCTCTAAGGTGAAAAGGAAGCTTGCAGTTCCCAGCTGGGGACTTCATAAAAAGTGAAACTAAGCCGAGTGGTAGTGGCGCACGCCTTTAATCCCAGCACTTGGGAGGCAGAGGCAGGTGGATCTCTGTGTGTGAGTTTGAGACCAGCCTGGTCTACAGGGAGAGTTTCAGGACATCCAGGGCTGTTACACAGAGAAACCCTGTCTTGGGGGGAAAAATAATAATAAAAAAATAAATAAATAAAGTGAACTATTTAGGGCAGGAAGGAAAAGGAGGACCTCAGATTCTAATCATAGTAGTAATTCTAATAATAGGTGGTACTGGCTCTTTACCATTTATTAGGTACTAGCTAAATAAAGAACTTTTTGAGGTTGATATTATTATTTCCATTTTGTGTATTGGGAAACTGAGGCTCACAGGATTATTTGACATATTCAAACCCCACCTGTGGTACTTTTCATACTGTGTTCATACCTTCCTTTCCTGCTGAGAATTGTGTATATGCTACATCCCTTTGGCTGAGAATCACAGGTGGTGGGAGAAACCGTCTCCTGTTATCCTGGGTAATAAAGCCAGTCAGCAGCCAGTTCTACCTGCTGGCAACTACTTTTACTGTTGCTGCGGTTTTTATTACCAGCACCACCTAAATGGTTTTGCCACCATTTTGTGAGTTAGGCAGATGAGAAAGCATGGCCAGGAGAAACCATGTCACAACAGCTCGTGATTGCAAAGGCAGATCTTCGACACAGGCAGCTCAAGCCTCCAGAATATAGGCCAGCAGTCTCTTTGCCTTTCCAAAGTCCCTTTGGGTTTTATTTCTTCCCGGTAGGAAAGCTTGTGGGCTGGTCCCGGAGCCCTGTTGGAGGCAGCGTCACCTTCAGCCAGGCCTGTCTTCTGTCTCTCCCTCCTAGCCCCTCGGGTCCAGGCTGGCCTGCTGGACTTCTTGCTGTTTGGAAGCCTCATCTCAGCGGTGGACCCTGTGGCCGTGCTGGCTGTCTTTGAGGAGGTGCACGTCAACGAGACGCTCTTTATCATCGTCTTTGGAGAGTCCCTCCTCAATGATGCAGTCACTGTGGTGAGGATGTACAGTGGCCCGCCAGCCCCTGACACTAGGCTGTCCTGCTCTGCCAGCTGGGTGTCTGAGCAGCCTCTGACCTTTCCCCTGGGGAGGAAATAGGGTCTGAGCTTTCCTCTTTTCCGACCCACTTCCCCTCTGTGGCCGCCTCCCACAGCCTGACTCTCCTCTTGTCGTCCAGGTGCTCTACAAGGTCTGCAACTCCTTTGTGGAGATGGGCTCTGCCAATGTGCAGGCCACTGACTACCTAAAGGGAGTCGGTCAGTATTTCCCCAAACTTGGCCACCATTCAATGTCCGCCTTCCCTGGGTTGTTGAGACCCACCTACCCAGCACTGGGACAGAGGAGGCTATTCTGATGGCCTCATTTCTTACTCTCCGCTATGGAGAAATGGGGTCTGGGAGGAGCTTGCCCTGGGATCCTAGTCTGGGATCCTGAGCCCCGGGGAGTGTCGGGGGGTATCTTCCTCTACTTCTCACTAGGCATCGGTCCTGTCAGCCCAGCTTGGGGAGGGTCTGGGCCAGGGGTCATGCTGACAACCCACTCCTCCCCCAGCCTCCCTGTTTGTGGTCAGTCTGGGCGGGGCAGCCGTGGGCTTAGTCTTTGCCTTCCTCCTGGCCCTGACCACACGCTTCACCAAGCGGGTCCGCATCATCGAGCCGTTGCTGGTCTTCCTCCTCGCCTACGCAGCCTACCTCACTGCTGAAATGGCCTCGTTGTCTGCCATTCTTGCGTGAGTCCTGGGGGTGTCCAGGCAGGCAACTGGGAAAGGGCTCTGGAAATAGTAACACTTCACATGGCCAGAAGCAAGATCTTAAGGAATCTGTAGGCGTCACTGAACCCTGGTGGTAGTGGAGAGTCAACCTTGCAGAACTGTCTGGGCACCTGAAGGCTCAGACTCCCCCTACCTGAAGTGCAGACTAAGCTGCCAGTGCCCTTCAAGGCCTGAAACCACTGGTTGCTATGGGTATAGCACCCTAAAGGATGCCTCGGAGGGTTTGCTACTCGGAGAAAGAGGCACTAAGTGGGGAGCCTGGAGATCTCTATTCATCCCAGACTGCCACTAATTAGCAGTCTTCGCCCGTCCCTGAGCTTGGAGAATCTGACACCCTGTGATGGGCAGCATCCCCACCTACAGCATGCTCAAGCCCCAGTGAGACTGAGCCTTGGGGACCCGTCCTCACTCTCAGTTTTGTTTCTCTCCCAGGGTGACCATGTGTGGCCTGGGATGTAAGAAATACGTGGAAGCCAACATCTCCCACAAGTCACGCACAGCTGTCAAATATACCATGAAAACCCTTGCTAGCTGTGCTGAAACAGTCATCTTCATGCTGCTTGGCATCTCAGCCGTGGACTCTTCCAAATGGGCCTGGGACTCTGGGCTGGTGCTGGGCACCCTCTTCTTCATCCTGGTCTTCCGAGCCCTCGGTATTGCCGACACCCTCTGATCCCTGCCCCTTTCCCTGTCTCTTTTCTGTGCCCTCTCACCCCACTACTCACCCCTCAATCCAAGTCCACATCCTTGTTAATTCCTCTCAATGCTCACCTGTCCCAACCCCTGCCAGACCTTAGCCCAGATGCTTGGAGCCATCCATTCCCAGTGGCCTCCACTCCAACTCCTTGCTCCTGCTGGCCTCCCTCCTGCTGTAGGGGTAGTCCTGCAGACGTGGGTGCTGAATCAGTTCCGGCTGGTTCCTCTGGACAAGATTGACCAGGTGGTGATGTCCTATGGGGGCCTTCGGGGGGCTGTGGCGTTTGCTCTCGTCATCCTACTGGACAGGACCAAAGTCCCTGCCAAGGACTACTTTGTGGCTACCACTATTGTGGTGGTTTTCTTCACAGTCATCGTGCAGGTGGGAGTGCCCAGGAGGCTAGGTGGGAAGGGATTCAGCAGGCCCTGGGAGAGTCTTGGAACACTTTGGGACAGGGGCTTCCCTTTCCAGTGGGGGAGGCAGGGACCTGGCTTCTCGGACCTTGAGTGGAATGGGTAGAGGCAGAGCTGAGGCCTAATTATTTGGAGAAAGGCTGCTGGGAACCGCATTGGGCAGGGCTCACCTCCTGCCTGTTCTTAGGGTTTGACCATCAAGCCACTGGTCAAGTGGCTGAGGGTGAAGAGGAGTGATCATCACAAACCTACTTTGAACCAGGAGCTACATGAGCACGTGGGTACCAGAACCCCATCCCTCTACCTGTCCCTTTCTCCCTTCTCCTATGTTGGCAGAGTCCTGATCCAGTCCCCCTACCCACCCCCATTCTAGACTTTTGACCACATTCTGGCTGCAGTGGAGGACGTTGTGGGGCACCATGGCTACCACTACTGGAGGGACAGGTGAGGGAGCTGCCCCGAGGCTCCTTCAGCAGCAGTAGCCCTACCAGCCAGGGCGGCATGGGGGATATGCCACCCTTCTGAGAAGGGACACAGCCAGGTTCAGGCTAGGTGACCTTGCCTGGAGCCCTTCAGTGGCACCCCAGTGTTCTCAAGATAAGACAGAGCTCCCCAGGGTGGCCTGCCAGACCCTGTATGGTCCGGCACTTGCCAGACTCCAGCCCCATTATACGCTGTTCTGTTTTTGATGGTCCGCCTGATAGTTACGCAGGCCCTATTTGGAGCCTCAGCGCCCACCCTGTGGTCCAGGCCTGGCCACTGAGACCAGTGTATGTGTTCTGTCTCCTAGAACACTGCCTCCTTCCCTCTTCCTTAGATTTGAATCACCCTGCAGATCTAACCACAGGCATTGATTCCTGAGAGACCTCTGGCCTCCCTGACAAGGACAAATCCCCATTATAATTATCCTTGGTAGTTTTTGTCATGGTTATAATTTTTACAGTTATTTGAAATAACTTTAATATCACACTCTCTCCTGGAACTGTAAAGGCTCTAAGAGCAGGGACTAGCCTTGGGATTCCCTTTGGCTGAGACTCCTACCAAGAAAGCCAGGCCAGTGCTGGCAGTGTCCCTGCCCTATCTGAGGAAGGGCCAGCCAGCCACCCCTTGAGAACGGTACTCAGGGCTGGGCGTGGCACCCTCTATAGGTGGGAACAATTCGACAAGAAGTACCTGAGTCAGCTGTTGATGCGGCGGTCAGCCTATCGGATCAGAGACCAGATCTGGGATGTGTACTACAGACTCAACATCCGAGATGCCATCAGTTTTGTGGACCAGGTGGGCCAAGCAGTTACCAGGTAGGCCAGCAGTGGATAGACAGATGGTCAGCAGAGCCGGGCAGTAAGGGATGACAGGCAGGCAGGCTTGTTAGCCGGGGCCAGGGAGTTGGAATTCCCAGCTGGCTCCACAGGGTTGTGAAGTCACAGCTGCTGGAGCCAGCCTGCTGTTGACAGTGTGACAGGCAGTGCAGAAAGGTGGGAAACAGCTGGACTCGGGAGTCAACAGACACAGTTCATGTGTAGGCCGATGCTTAGATAAGTAGCTTACACTGCCTGAGCTTCAGGTCCCTCAGTGAGAAGGAAGTAGCAGTAAGAATAGGACTACCTAGGTCAGATCTTAAGAATTCAGTGTGTGAAGTGTTTCCGTATCTGGTAAAACAAAGAACAAACTCATGCCCGGGGCTGTTGCTCAGTGGTTCAGCACTTGCATAGCGTTTGAGAACCCGAGTAATCCCAAGCATGGCTCAAAGCAAAATAGTCATCAAAATAATTGTTAACGCATGTTATTCTCTTTATTACCCTCGGTCTGGCCGCCCTCCATCTGATCCTTGCCTGACCTCCACCTTGACTCCTACAGGGAGGCCACGTCTTGTCCTCGGCAGGACTCACTCTGCCCTCTATGCCCAGCAGAAATTCTGTGGCAGAGACCTCTGTCACCAACCTGTTGTGAGTCCATGAGGGCCCTTCCCCTTCCTCAAGCTCTCCTCCCCACATCCCTCCTGGGGACGGTTTGCCAGCACCTTTGCCTCTGCCCCTCCGCTCACCCCTGCTGCCCACCCCTCAGCACACATGTCCCTGCCTCCTGCAGGAGAGAGAGTGGTAGTGGAGCCTGTCTGGATCTGCAAGTGATCGACACAGTACGCAGTGGCCGGGACCGGGAGGATGCTGTGATGCATCACCTGCTCTGTGGAGGCCTCTACAAGCCACGGCGCAGGGTGAGAGCTCTGAGGGTGGTGGGGAGTGGGCTGCAGGGGCCTTGGCCAGAGACTTAAGAGGCGCTTGGTACCAGCTTGTGTCCGGTTGTGAATGCCCAGTTGAAGGCTGCGGGTTTCGTCCTTTGCTCTTGTTGATTGGGAGGAAGTGCTGCAGGGTGTACATCATATTAGCTGCTGTTGTGGATTTGGAGGCACTGACCCAGCTGGGACTCTAGCAGGAAACACTTTGGATTAGAAGCTGGGTGTTAAGGAGAGGAGCACACAGGACATGGACATTATCCCTGAGGGGAGAGGAAGAGATAGGGGAGAAGGAGCTTTGAGAAGCAGGTCAGAGATGGAAGCAGGGACCTGAGAAGGCCTTTGGAACCAGTTTAACAGGGCAGAGGTGGATTAGCCTGTGCACACTGGGTAGCTTTGGAGCTTTGTGTCTGGAAAGGCCCATCCCGCCCAGGAGAGGATCTTCTGTAACCCCACAAGGGGGCAGCAGGCCATTATCTTGGGCCTTTGGAAGTGCAAATCTGACCGTTACTCACGCAGTACTGCAGCAAGGCTTTTAGAACAAGTTAGAATTGGCTTAATTTGCATGCACCTCTCTTTAATTTCCAGTTCTGCAGAATAAGCTTCAAAGGTTTCCAGGCAGCTTTACTCACACAGGCCCTCTTTTCCAGTATCCTCCTCTGACTCTGATGTGTCTTTGGCCATGAGAAGCCTCTCCTCCCTCACCCCATGGAGGAGCTACTAAGTGGCTGTCTAGGGGAAGTTATAGGGGCTCACTAACTTTCCTAGTTCTAGACTTGCTATTAGTGCTGCCCAGGATCCCTGGTTTGGCTCACCAATTAAGGACTTCGCACTGTCTCCACACTCTGGCAAACCCTCATGTCTTCCTCAGATAATAGCTGTCAGACCCACCTCATCCAGCTTTTCTTTTCCTTTTAATGTTTTTCTTTTGCAAAATTTTAGTGGAGAGAACGAAATAACTCTGATTTATCTGTTACCCGACTCTAATAAGTATCTGTGCATGATGAAGTTTTTACGGTCTATAACCCACCACACCCTGCCCACACTTTATCTTACAGCAGACTCCAGACATCCTGTCACATCATCTAATAAACATCTCACTATATGGCAAGAGCTCTTTGTTTATTTTATCTTATTTTTAAATTTTGGCTTCTTTGACACACAGTCTTGCTAGTTGCCTTAGGACTGGGTTCAAACTGGGAATTCTCTTGCCTCAGCCTCCCAAGTACTCTGATTACAAGTGTGAACCGCCACTCCAGCTGTCAAGAACTTTAAAACATAAGGACAGTGGTAGAACATTTACTTAGCATCTGTGAGGCCCTGAGTTTGATTCCCCAGCACTTCAGAAGTCAAGTCAAATCATAGTACTGCTATTATAATAATTCCTTATATCAAATACCCAGTCAGTGTTCAATAAATACCTGTTTTTCCTAGCTGGTTACATAACTCAAGATCCAAAATAAGTTCACAATTTATATCTGGAAGATATGACCTTCATTAAGGAAAACTATAGTAGTTTCTTCTTCCTTCCCCGCTTGCTATTTATTGAAGAAACTAGATACTTTTTTATACTGGAGAATTTACCATTTTTCTAGATTTTTCTGATTGTATCCCAGTGTTGTTTAGCACATTACTCCATTTCTTATATTTTCTGGTTATTAAATCTGGAACTCAAGCAGATTCAGGGGCTTTCAGGTGTGCTATATACTTCTTAGTGTGTTACTCAGAGAGAGCACATGGTTGTGTGTTTGCACGCGCGTGTGCACACGCGCACACATTTGACTGGTGGGTTTGATTCAGTTCTTGTGTAGTCAATTTAAAAAGAACTAAAGTAAGTTTGTACTTATTTGCTAAAGTTGTCTTATTTAATTTGGCCATCATTCCATCGTTTGGATCCCATGTCTACCACCAAATGTCTCTTTCTCAGATTCATATCATCTGAAAACTTGCTAAGCCTGTTAATTTTATATTCATCTAAATCATCATAAATATTGAACAGGATAGAGTTGGGGATAGAGCCCTGTGGCATGATACTAAAGACTTTCCTCCGGACTGACATGGATGGAACATTTTAGGGTATGGTTAGTCATCTAGTTCTGAATCCACTTAGTTGCACCATGACACAGTCCTTAATTCCTTATGTTCTCTCCGGGATTAGTATTAGAGACAGTATATAGTTAATTAAGATTATAGCTTAAGAGATAAAGGGGCTGGAGAGAAAGATTTGGAAGCACGCACAGCAGAGCTCTCCTCATTTGACTCTCCCGGAATTCCCTGAGAAGCTTGATAGAATATTCTTGGCTTCACCTCCTAGAGATTTAGATCCTGTAATGTGGAGCGGGGCTAAGAATCTTTGTTTTTAATAAGCCCCCCTGATGATTCAAACGCAGCTGGTCTGATGCCTGCTGTTTTGAAACTGCAGATCATGTCACTGGGTTAGTTGAAGTGGAGAGAGTGTAAGTTCTCTGGGGAGAGTGTTTAGGAAAAAGAGAGCAGAGCCAAGAATAATACAGAGGAATATATGTGGAGAAAGGAAGAGGGAGCCAGCAAAGGAGAGAACGGAACCCTTGGAGAAGATACAGCAGATAGTGTCTCTGCCTGGGGAGAAGAAGGGCTGGCTGCCGTACAGAGGTCAGGACTGGTGACCAGGGAGAAGGCAGCATTGCAGACTTGAATAGCATTTTTGGTATTTAAGGAAATACTAGACAGGAAGGAAAGTGTCCCAATCAATTTATAAGCGCTTGGCCTCAAAAGGGAGCTAGTAGTGGCAACGAGAGGACTTTAAAAACAAACAAAAACAAGGGCAGGAGCTTGTCTGAAAGCGGAGGTCAGGTGGCTGCTGGTAAGCAAAGTAAAGATGCAGGAGAAATAGGAGGGGGCTGAGAACTGAGGGAGGCAGGGTGAGTTGAGCAAAGCCGAGACAGGGCCACGTTAGAGGTGGGGTGGCATTTCCAGGTGCTTAGGTAGAGAAGAAAGGCAGATGGGGGACTTCAGGGAGCTCGCAGAAGTGCTTCAGAGAAACAGAAAATACGAGGAAGAAGAAAGGAACCAAGCCAGGTTGGGGTGGTGCACACCTTTAATCCCAGCACTCATGACGCAGAGGCAGGCAGATCTCTTGTGAGTTCAAGGCCAGCCTGATCTACAGAGAGAGAGTTCTAGAACACTGTAGCCAGAGCTACACAGTGAAACCCTGTCTCAAAAAACTCAAAGAAAAAAAAAAAGAAAGGAACCAGATAGAATGTGAAGCAAGATAAAGTGACCAGGAGGCTCTAGGCAGTACCTTGGTGATTACCTTCCCCTATATAGGAAAAGGTTGCTAAGCTCCCAAGAGCAGAAATAGGCAGGCTGGATGAGTGTGTGGAGGGCTTGGTCTTTATGAGAAAGAGTTAAAAGGAGCAGATAAAGGGTTGGCCCTAAATTAAGTACGCAGTTGCTAGGGCCAAGAGGACCTAGGGCAGGTAGATAGGAAAGTCCAAAGCATAGGCTTGATGTTGTGGTCGTTGTAGAAATGTCTAGAAGGAAGACAGCCGGCAAGAGGATCCTGTGTAGCTACCTGGGGCTATGTGGGCTGGATGTGTGAGCCACACAGAGATAAATAGACATGCAAAGGATATGGCTCTGTGGCTTTATTGTAGCCCCAGGGAACAAAGTACAGAACCCCTGCCTCTTATCACTTCCGATTAGATAGAGCAGAGGAAAGGGCAGCAGAGGATAAAGAAAGTTTGAAGGAATAACTTGTGGGGAAAAGGGAAGTTTTTCCTTAGTGAACTGACTGTGGTTCAGAGCCCCTGGCTCTAATCTTTTTGTATGTTTTATTTTTATTTTATTTTATTTTTATTTTTTTGTTTTTTTGAGACAGGGTTTCTCTGTATAGTTTTGGTGCCTGTTCTAGAACTCACTCTGTAGCCCAGGCTGGCCTCGAACTCACAGAGATTCACCTGCCTCTGCCTCCTGAGTGCTGGGATTAAAGGCCTGAGCCACCACCGCCTGGCCTTTAGTTTTATTTTTTAATCCATGGCTAATTGTGGAAAAGCTGGGCCGGCAGGACATGTGATGAACATGTTGGGGTTGTGGCCTGGGGTCCCCATGGGAGGCCAAGGCACCCAGCCTCATGGCATGGTCGGGCTGTCATTGCCAGTACAAAGCTAGCTGCGGCCGCCACTTCATCTCCGAGGATGCACAGGAACGACAAGACAAGGAAGTCTTCCAGCAGAACATGAAGCGACGGCTCGAGTCCTTTAAGTCCACCAAGCATAACATCTGTTTCACCAAGAATAAACCTCGACCCCGCAAGACCGGCCACAAGAAGGCACGTCTTTTCTCTGGGACACCTCTTACAGGGCTGTGGGCTGGTAACAAATCATTCTGAGTCCTCACATTCTGAAACTCAGCCCAAGGAGACGTTTTGTTTAATCACCTTCAGGGTTCGATGAATATAACGGTTTGGGTTTCTTTTTAGGCCTGTCTGAGACCTTTGGGGGGCGGGCGTGGCTTCAGAGGGAGGGCAGCCTCTCAGCTGTGGGATCACTTGCTACCAGAGGTGAAACAGGGAAAGGGCAGAGTTCTTGGTGAGGCAATGCTAGGAGCCCTTCAGCCAATCCAGACCCATGTATCCAGAGCCCCAGATAGGAAGTGAGTCCCTCTAGACGCCACAGTTCCTGCCTGGCTGACCTGGGAATAGTAGGGTGGAAGAACTGTTGTGATAACCACCCCCCACAGGTTAGGAAGGCTTGTTCTGTTGACTCTCTCTAGGGTTTGTGGATGGGTGGTAGAACCAAGGCCAGAGTCTTAGGTTTGCTTTCTGGTCCTCAGAAGGATGGTCTGGCTAACCCTGAAGCTACAAATGGAAAACCTCCTCGAGACCTGGGCTTTCCGGACACAGGCAAGCAGGGAGCTTGGGGACGGAAGGGAGGAGGGAAGGAGAAGGACTGTCATCCAGATCCTGGAGGGTCTCTGGGATCACTTAGCACCGTGAGTTGGGCCTCTCCCCTCAGGGACTAGATAGGCATACTTGAATGTTGGAGTAGTTCCAATCAGTGTACCACGTATGACAAGATTGCTGAGTATGACTGCGGACTAGTGAGGACTTGGAAAAGGTCATGGAGATGGGTAGACTGGCCTGGGCCTTGGAGGATAGGTGGAACCGAAGCTGTAGTGTGCATCATCAAAACCTAGATCCCTGTGAGCTGAGTGTTAATGGACCTTCCAACCTAGTGGGTGCTGATGTCATCAGTTGATCTGGGGCTGATAACAGAAAGAGCTGTTGGTATGGCCCTATGGCTTCCTCTGAGAACTCAGCACCCTCAGATTGCTCCTTGAGCTGTGCAGTCTTGTCTCCTTTCCCCTCAAGCCCAATACTCTAGGCCAGCACCCAGAAAGGCTGAAGGAAGGAAGATGCAGGTCCTCTGCCAACATGGGCTTTGCCTAGGGGAGGGGGCAGGAGCTAGCTTTGGGTTGTTGGGTACCAAGAAGCAGCCACTGGGTTGGCTGCCTTGACTCAGCTTTGCCCTTGTCCAGCTGCTGTGATATTAACCGTGGAGTCTGAGGAGGAGGAGGAAAGCGACAGTTCAGAGACGGAGAAGGAAGACGATGAAGGGATCATCTTCGTGGCGCGAGCCACCAGCGAGGTCCTCCAAGAAGGCAAGGTCGCAGGTAATGACTTCCCTGCAGTCTCTCCCCTGGGCAGCCAGCTTTTCCTCCATCTGCTCTCCTGGCCTCTGTTTCAGGAAACACTCGTCCTGATTGCTAGTTTATTCGACGCCAGCATTTACTAAGCATTTTGACTCTACAAGAAACCTTATACAGTGATCTCCCTCAAGCACTCACAATGCCCAAGATGGGGAAACTAAGCTCACAGAGCCTTAGAGACTGGTGAATGGTCCAGAACCACATGATAAAAGCAGGATTTGAACTTGACCCACCTGACTTCAAAGACCACCACCTGAGGAACACAAAGTGATAAGCAGATCTAAAAGCCAGCTCTCTTATGACCCAGGCTTAGCACCCCTGCTGGCACATAGAGTTCTGAGTGAGGAGGTCAGCATCGGACCTTGGGAGGAACCTGGACTATCAAAATGGAATCCTTGTGGATAAAAAAGCAGTATACAGGTTTCTGCATGTGGAGATCTCCCTCCTAATGCTAGGGTTTCAGTGGTTAAAACACAATCACAATATCATAACCATATATAAGATCTCACTCATAAAATATCTAGTTGGAGCCAGGCAGTGATGGCCCATGCCTATCCTATAATCCCAGCACTCGGGAGGCTGGATCTCTGTGAGTCTGAGGCCAGCCTGGTCTACAGAGCGAGTTCCAAGACAGCCAGGGCTACACAGAGCAACCCTGTCTTGAAAAACCATTTAGAAAAAGTCTAGCCGGGCGGTGGTGGCGCACGCCTTTAATCCCAGCACTCCGGAGGCAGAGCCAGGCGGATCTCTGTGAGTTTGAGGCCAGCCTGGTCTCCAAATCGAGTTCCAGGAAAGGCGCAAAGCTACACAGAGAAACCCTGTCTCGAAAAACCAAATAAATAAATAAATAAATAAATAAATAAATAAATAAATAAAGTCTAGATGGGAGTCAGATTTCCTTGGTTCTCATTTTATTTGTTTATTTATTTTGAGACAGGGTCTCACGATGCAATCTAGGCTTGCCTTCCATTCACTAGTTAGCCTCAAACTCATGATCCTCCTGACACTGCCTCCAAAGGCTTGGGCCTGGCACTGGTCCCTCGCTGCCACAGTCTCACTGGTTGGTCAGGATGAGGTTTTAGCAGGATACAGTTGCTGGTGCTGATGAGGGTGATCAGAGACAAGACGTCCTTCCTGTTTGGTTTTCTTGAGCTGTAGTTAGTTGCCATCTGCTCAGTATGTCCCTTGTGAACAACTGTTCTGTGTGCAGCCCTGTGCTGCTGCTGGACCACGAGAGAAAGCAAAGCAGTCTGGAGCTTTCTTCCAGGAAGATATTTATTGTGTACAGCACAGATGAACACAATATGGTGACCTTGAGTGCACTTGAGGATTCCACTTCACTGATAATGAACTCGTGTGTACTCTCTGTGTTCCCAGGAAGCCTGGAGGTGTGCCCGAGCCCACGCATCATCCCTCCCTCCCCAACCTGTGCAGAGAAGGAGTTACCCTGGAAGAGTGGGCAGGGAGACCTGGCTGTATATGTGTCTTCAGAAACAACCAAGATTGTGCCCGTGGACATGCAGACAGGCTGGAACCAGAGCATCTCATCCCTGGAGAGCCTGGCATCCCCTCCCTGTACCCAGCCTCCCACTTTAACCCGCTTGCCTCCCCACCCACTGGGTATGGAAGAGACCCCGGTTCCTCTTGACCTGTCTTCTGACCCTCGCTCTAGCTTTGCCTTTCCCCCAAGCCTGGCCAAAGCTGGCCGTTCTCGCAGTGAGAGCAGTGCTGACATCCCCCAGCAGCAGGAGCTGCAGCCCCTCATGGGCCACAAGGACCACACTCATCTTAGTCCAGGCGCTGCCAACTCCCACTGGTGCATCCAGTTCAACAGAGGAGGCCGGCTGTAGCCCAGGGCCTCAGGGAGGAGCAGGATGTGGAGCCCCTGTGGGAAGTGTTCCTCAAGCAATGGGGAGAGGAGCCTACTCGGCCTAGTGTGGGGCCAGAGGGGCCTGGACTGAAGTGGCAACCGGGCCTCTTTGGGTCTGGTCAGAAGGGTTTCCTGGGCTGGTCCTCACAGGGACCCTTCTTACCACTCTCCCTGCTCTTAACCCTCCACTCTTCATTTCAAAAATGGCTCAGGATCCAGTCCAGAGTTCTAGGGGATAGACCCACAAGCTGATGTCCCTTCCCTAGGGCGTCTTCCTGGACATACTGTTGGCAGCTGTTCCTGTCCCCAAAGCAAGGGCATCGTTCTTCTGTGGACACTGGTCTTCCCTGTCCTCCACTTCCTCTCCAGTGTCAGCATCAGTGCCCCAGCAGTGAGGCTTTATGAGGGGCTGGTCCTCAGAGTGACTGGGGTGGGATGTAGTGCAGGCCTCAGCCTTTGGCTCCGCTGACTTGTTGGGTCAGCTGAAGGAGTAGCGGGAGTCTGCCTCCCATTGCTTTAGCCCTTTCCTCTGCTGCCAGATGTTGAGGTAATGGTGCCTCTTTTTCTAGGACTAGGCCCCGGGCCAGGCTTTAGGTCAGAGCTGCTTCTTAGCCAGTCAGCTGCTCTAGGCCTGAGTCTGGAACTTTCTGAGACTTGGAGCTGAGATTTCTGAGTAGGAGACAAAGAGGCCTCTGGGCTCCTATGTCAGCACCTCAAAATTTTCCCAAAGGAAGAAGGAACCAGGTACCCCAGGGCCACTGCACCATTACCGTAGGAGCTGGGGTTCCTGGCTACAGTGTTTGGGGACAGCTAACTAGTACCAAGTGGCTTTCCTGGGGTTAGCCCCTGCCTTGTGTTTTGTACCTTAAACCCAAGATACATTAAACATCTCTTAGATGGATGAATGTCCTCTGTCCATTTGTCTCAGGCTTTCAGGGTTGGGGACAAGAAGAATCTGCCTGTTGCAAGATTTTCAGGAGTAGAGATAGTAAGGGAGATCTTACAGCTCTTAGTCCCTCTGGTCCTCAGAAGCACTTCCCCAACATTATCTACCCTGCTTGCAGGAGGCATGGAGTGCTAATCTAGGGGACCACTGTATGGGCTGGGGAAGGTGTCTCAGAACTGGGAATCCACAAAATGGGAAAGGCCAACAGGGTGAACCCCCTGGGTCAGGGTCTAAGCTATCCACTCTCTATGTAGTGCCACAGAGATATTTCTAGGAAAATGTGAGGACACGTGTGAGCCAAATGAGCAAGTGTCTCTCCGAGTATGACAGGTAGGAAGCCAAGCTCCAGGGAGTTGGCTACCCTGAGAATTTATGAGACAAATCAAAGCAGTATGGGTCCTGAAATCCTTAGATAACAGTATTCCCAGAATCGAATTCCTACTGTGTCTGAAGAATTTTTTAAAGCATCTTTGAGAATAAACACCATAAAATTCAATGTTTAAAATGTACTGTTAAATTTTGTTTGTTTGTTTTGTTTTTTAACTTGGTATTTTTGCTGGATATGGTGGTGCATATCTTTAATCCCAGCCTTCAAGAGACAAAGACCGACCAATCTCTATGGACTCAAGGCTATCCTGGTCTATGTGGCAAATTCAGAGACACCCAGGGCTATATAGAGAGACTGTCTCAAAACAAGATTTATTTTTGTTGTAATTGTGTAGATATGTGTGTCCGCATGTAGATATGTACATGAGTGCAGGTGCCCTCAGAAGTCAGAGGCACTGGATTGCGGGAGCTGGAGTTGCATGTGTTTGTGAACCTCCTGGTGTGGTGCTGGGGACCAAACTCTGGTCCTCTGAGAGAGCAGCAAGTGCTCTAACCACTGAGTCTTCTCCAGCCCCAGGTTTCGGTATGTTCACATAGTTGTGCAAACTATGATGTAAGAATGGAACGTTTTCATCATTCCCTGTGTAGCCCATACCGAAGTCTCTCCTCATCCCATCCACCACACAGCCATAGGCATTCACCAACCCACTTTTCATATCTCTGGGTCTGAGGACCTTGGAACACATCAAAGACCCACAGGCCTGGTCAGCTTTTTGTCTGGGGAAAAGGTAAAGAGGAAGAGTGACTTAGCTTTCTCTTCAAATTGCCAACAGCTGGCTAATAAGACTTGATAGTTAATTTAAGTAGTTAGCAATCGGGAGTCAATCCTAGCTGTTACTATCTATGACATCTGGGGCCTGTTACTTAAGCTTTTGGAGCCTTAATTTTCTCTTCTCTAAAACAGGATAGCTGAAGCAGGGTGTAGTGGCAAAATGCCTTTAATCCCAACACTGGGGAGGTGGAAGAAGGTGGATCCCTGTAGAGTTGAGGCCAGCCTGGTCTACAGAGCAAGCTCCAGGCTAGCCAGAGGTACACAGTGAAACCCTGTCACAAAAACAAAACAACAATAACAAAAAGGGTTAACAGTCATACTTAACACTTCATAAGATAATGTCTAGGATTAAAATGGGAAGGAATGGTCCTAGCCCTGGCTCTAAGGGAACAAACTGTGTTTGCATTATCTTACTCATTCTGCAAGGCAGAGATGCAGGGAAAATGCTGTGGGTCTTTGAGTTCTGGGAAGGAGGACAGGAAGGAAGGGTAGTAGATAATGGAAGCTTAAGTAGTGGATTCCAAGAAAGGGAAGCTAGAGATGGAAGGTCATTGGGGAGGCTACTTCAGCAGCTCAGAGTAGGTGAAGAGGACGGAACAATAGGCAGTTCCACCGCTTTTCAGTCAGGATGACTGGGGAGCTGGTCAAAACAGAAATTTCTGAGCCTACTCCAAGGTGTTTGCTCTTTTGGAGTCAGGGACTTACTATGTAGCTGTAGCTAGCCTGGAACTTGATATGTAGACCATGCTGGCCTCAAACTCATAGAGTTCTACCTGTCTGTACCATTGCCCCCACCACCCGCCCTTGATCCCAGTGCTGGGATTAAAGGCATGTGCCACCACACCCAGCTACTCCAAAAGCTTTGACTTAGCAAGTATCTGGAGGCCAAAAATGCTAGTAAGCACAGCTTGGGAAGTGGAAAAGCTGTCAGGCATTTCACATTTGGCCACTTGACTGGACAAAATGACAGGGTGGTTATACTACCTGGGATGAATGGAGAGAGCTGATTAATCCAGGTCTTAAAGGGGAAAGTGTGTGTGTGTGTGTGTGTGTGTGTGTGTGTGTGTGTTGTTCTGATGTCCCTTAGAAGGCATCCACTTTGAATATTTGAGATAGGTCTCTCACTGGCTTGGAGTTTGCTAAGAAGGCAGGGTGGCTGGCTGGGCAGTGAGCCCCAGGACCTGCCTGTCTCTGCTTCCCCAGCAAAGATTACAAGTGTGTGTCACCATGCTTAGCTTTAAAAAGTGTTCTAAACCAGGCAGTGGTGGTGCACTCCTTTAATCCCAGCACTTGGGAGGCAGAGGCAGGCGGATCTCTGTGAGTTTGAGGCCAGCCTGGGCTACAGAGTGAGTTCCAGGACAGGCTCCAAAGCTACACGGAGAAATCCTGTCTCGAAAAAACCAGAAAAAAAAAATTAAAAATTGAAAAAAAAGTGTTCTAAGGATCAAACTCAGGGCCTTATACTTGTAAGGCAAACATATTACCCACAGAGCTATCTCCCCAGCTTCCCTCCATCTTTAAAAAAAAACAAAACCTTGTTATAAAGCTGTCTTGACAGGAACTTTTTTACTCTTACGTAGACCAGGCTAACCTTGAACTTGTGATCTTCCAGCCTTTTCATGTCAAATGCTAGCATAAGAGGTGTATACTGCAGCACCAGGCTAAAAGGAAGGATTTTGATGATAATGAGGGCCTTCTAAGTCAGAGAAGAGGGCATGAAACAAAAGACTTTGAGTCAGCTGTGTTTCCAAGAGTGGTCTGGGACCTAGGTAAAAAGGCTACAATGCCTCTGGTGGCCTTGAATGCCATACCAAGGAGCCTGGGTTTGTTTAGGTCAAAGATGAGAGCGGTCTGGAGCATTTGAGGTGTTGGTTGTCTTTGCTGTTTACAGTAGCACTGAAGAAGGGTACACAGAATTTAAGGTATTATGGCTCTTGGTCCTGTACCCCAAGCCTAACAAAGAGCCCAGAGGTTTTCCTTCTTTTCTTTCCTTTCCTTTTCTTTTTTATTTTCCTTTCCTTCCCTTTCCTTTTCCTTTCTTCCTTCCTTCCTTCCTTCCTTCCTTCCTTCCTTCCTTCCTTCCTTCCTTCCTTCCTTCCTTCCTTCCTTTCTCTCATTGATCATGTGTCAAGAAAAGGGGCAGGAGAGGGCTAGCAAAGGAGCAGGGGAGGGCCCTGTCCACGTTTTACAATCTCAGTGGAAAAGGCTTCTGTGAGTAGATTCAGCAGCCAGCAGAGCCAGAGATGGCCTCCATGAGTCACTGTTCAGACTTGCAAGCTCAGCCCTCAAAGCCTGCTGTGGTCAGCCACCCCAGGTTGGCTCCAGGCCTAGTCCCCCAGTGTCCCCCGCTAGGCCAGTGTCTGTCCCTGTTTCTGTTTGTGCCTTTACCATCCCAGAGTTGTATGTCGTACAGCTTTCTGCCCCTTCTGTCTGTCTCTGTCTCTATCAGTGACTTTCTCTAACTCTGGTTTCCATGTGACCCACAGATGGAGAGCTCAGGAGGGTAGAGGCAGTGTGACTAGTCTTAGATACCCCTAAACATTTATTCTGTGCCAGGCCTGAAGTGCAGAGCTAGAAGTAGAAAAGTGGACAACATACAGTCTGCTTACAGGGCACATTCTGTGTGGAATGGGAAAGCCACAGCCTCGTCCTGCCTCTATCTCAGCATGTGAGCCCTCCCTAACTGCCTGTGGTGCTCAGTGGGCCCGGGTCAGCTAGGGCCTGGGGCCTGATGGCTCCCTCCTATTTGCTTCTGTCACTGGGAGGGGGTATGTACCTTCCAGAAGCTCTGTCTACTCCTTACAGCTCCTGGGGGCCTGGCTGGTGGGGTGAGCCTCAGAGGCAAGAGGGAGGGAGAGAGGGGAGCCAGTGACTCAGTGGGGATGGCCTGGGACAAGAACCAAGGACAGAAGCCAAGACTGGACCCAATGCTCCCTGAAGCTGGAGGAAGGAGGGACTCAAGACATGGCTGGGGGCTGGGGCTAGAGCAAGACAACTCCGAGGCCAGCCCTGCCCTTTCGCTCTTCTCCAGAACCCATCTTAGAGTCTGAGATGGACAGGGGAACTGCTGGTGTTTCTACCGTGGCTGCAGCTGATTCCTAGAGAGCCATGAAGGAAGCGCCTGTCTTAGAGCCAGGGAAGGCATTGTGTCCAGTGTCCTCTTCTCCCAAGGACCAAAGCCATGGTGTGAGGCTAGGGGCCTTTTTCTGGTCACATAGCCAACCTTCTTACAATCTCCCTACAAATTCAAGAGTGTTAGGCCAGGCCCACTTACTCCAGAAGGACTTCAGACCTCAGAGCTGAGAGCAAGGAGGGATCTCCAAGCTACCTGGGTGTCTTTCATCGGTTCAAGATCCCCTAGCTAAGGGTGAAACGAGACGGCTGGCACAAACACAGACATCTGACACACCAGGTATTCTCTGGTCTATCTGACAGCCCCAGGAGAAAAAAATGACTTTCTTACTTCACAGGAGACGAAAATGAGCAAAGAGAAGAGAGTCCGTGGAGGACCCCCAACTGGTGAGTGATGGAACCAGGTCCCCGCTGGTCTCTGGCTCCAGGGCCCCAGCTTCCTTGGCCCCAGCTTCCTTTGCCCCACTTTTCTGTGGGTAGGGAAAGAGAATTCAGGGAATTCAGGAGGTGGAGGGGTTGGGCCTCACAGATGTTGGCAGGCCTGGGTGGTCAGGTCCCACCCAGACGCACCACTACCCCCTCCACATTCCGGTTCAACCAGCGGCACCATCCAGTCATGGGATCACACAATTTATTTCCCGAACTTTGTTTGTCTTTGTTAATTGGACCTGGGGGCTCATACAAGCCAGGCTAGGGCTCTACCACAGAATTACATCCCACAGCCCATCCAGCCTCTTTTGTGGTGGGTGGGCCTGAGTAGCTGAAGGGGAGATGGCAGGCTGCAGTGGAGAGGTCCTTCCCACTCTCCATGAAGACACCACACAAGCAGCTGCCTGGGTTTAGGGAGTCTCTCTAGGGGCCTCCCCTAAACCTGGCTCCACGCATCTTCTTTGAGCCAGATTTGGGGGCCGCGAGCACTGAGTGGTCCTCATCTTGCAAAGGGGAGCTGGGCAAGTATTCCCATGCCCCGGCAAGGGACCGGTGAGGAGCCTTGCCCTCCTCCCACAAGGGCATCCTTTGCTGTGAGCCTGCTTTCGATCTAGCATCTTTTCAGACAGTTTCGGCTCTGGGCAGGTCAGGCAGTGGGCACAGTGGAATGGCCTATGGGCGCTGCCGCGATCCGCTCAGTGCAGCATCGAGGGAGGGTGCGCCAAGTCCCCGAGGCGCTGAGAGTAGGAGCCCCCACCCACCCACCCGCCGTGGGGTCGGGAGGAGGCGCGGTCGGTGCTCTTCTCCACCCTCCCGAGGTCTGAGCGCCTGCCTCCGGAACGATCCGGCTGAGCTGTGATTCGGTCCTCCAGTCCCTAGAGGGCGCCGCGTCCCCAGCGGCCTTACGGTCCCCTCCAGCCGCCAGAAGGTGGCGCCCTCGGAGGCCGGGCGGCCTCGCGGTACCTGTCGTCGAGGCTGTGGTGCGTCCGTTCTTCGCTTGTTCGAGGGCGGCGTGGTCTCCCAGGCTTCACAGTTCCCCACAGTGCGTCCCTGGGCTGTGAGCGTGCAGCTGACCCTCCCGGGGCCGGAAGCGCTGGTACAAGGCGGCTAGGCCTGGCTGGGCGGGCTGGAGCGAGCGTGTGCCCCAAGATAGGGCCACCCGGTCGAGGCTCATGGGAGCACGACCCGGCCTTGGGCCCAGAAGAGACTCTTGTGTCTTCCCTCACCAGGCTGGACTACTATAGAGGTAACGCTTCCTGGGACCTGGGGCCCAGCCGAGCACGCCCTTCTGCCTCGTGCTCCCGGTTTGCCTGCCCTGGGAGTCTTGCCCCACCATTTTCAAACCAGTTCCTGGATGCACTGAAGTCTCCTTCCACACCAGGGCCCAACCCCACACCCACTTGTCCAGAGCGGCCCACTCGTACCAGAGAGTGATGGAAGGGCCTCTTGAGGGTGGGCATGCGTCCCCAGACTCCCAGGGCCTTGCCGCGGACGGGAGGAGGTTTGCTGTGTGCAGTTTCAGGAACACCCAGAAGGAGGAACCTGCTCACCAGATACAGGCTATGGACCCCAGACCTTCAAGACCAGCAGTAGGGGCAACCCAAGGCAGAGGACTACAGGGAGGAGGTTCCTTGTCCAAAGAGCCTAAATCACGTCCAGAACAAAGGGCTGCAGATGGGTCAGGGGACTGCCAGGGGAGCATATTAGGAGGCCCCCCAGTCCAGTCAGAGGAGCCAGCCTTCTCCGGAGTGGAACACCTCTTGTATCCTATGTCCTCTCACCTCAGCCTGACACAGGATGAGCATGACTATCAAGGGGGAGGCTTGGTAGGGGACCCAGGTCCAGGCAAAGAATTGCCCGCTGGCTTTAGCCCTTTATCAGAGATGTCACCAAAGCTACTGGAGGCAGGTAAGGGAGACTGGGAATTCTGGGAAGGGAATGGGGCTGTCTGGAGGTGGGCATTGAGATTTGGGAGGTCTTTGACCCTACTCAGACTGAAGCCCTAGTCCATGGAGGAGGGCCCTGGGAAATCGGCCCGATTCAGACCCAAGCCGTTTCTCTTCTCAAGACCCCAGTGGATCCAGCCTCCCTAAGCCTGCTGACTGCCTCCTGGCCCGAGACCTCACCTGGGAGCTACTGGCCAGTGGCATGGCTGCCCTACCAGGTAGCTAGAAGGACTTAGATGAGGTGGAGAAAGGGTGGCCTGATTGCCAGGATTCATTTTCTCCTCTCCACAGGGACACGTGATGCAGAAGGCCGAGCAGTGCTGCTTCTGTGTGCCCACAGCCCAGCTTGGCTTCATCCCAAATGCAATAGCCATGAACTTCTGAGTCTCTTGTTCTACCTGCGAGGCATCCTCAGGTTTGAGGGAGAAAGTTGCAGGGCTCAGCCTGAACCATGAGGTGCTCTGATCTGTGACTTGGGTATTAAAAGGAAACTCACTGTTCAGGTCCGAAGTGCAGGCCCTGGGACTGACCATACTAGTTGATGCCCGAATCTGTTCCCCGAGCTCTTCTCTCCTCCGGGGCCTCAGCCAGCTACAAGTGAGTAGAGGATTATGACTCCCTCCCACTCGTGTTCTGTGTAGTCCAGGGGTAGGGCTGAACTTTGATTCTTTGCAGCAAGCAGCCCCAGGATCTGTGCAACAAGTGCTGCTAGTTGGCAAGATGCCAGAGGAAATGCCTACAGGGCTTCAGGTACCAAGCCAGGTTGGCTAGGACGGAGGTGGGGAATCTCTGTCCACATATTCCTGCATCCTACCTCCTTCTTCTGCAGTTCAATCAGCTGCCCTCTCACCAGAGCCTGCTGGCCCACATTCCTGACGTGGGGTTGCCTACTTCACTAGGAGGATGCCTGCCTTACAGCCACCAAGCCTGGCTGGATTTCCAGATGGTCAGTGCACCAGGTGGGGGTGGAAGGTTATGGTTATCCAGGTAACCTGGACCTGTGGGGAAGCCTTTCCTGGGTCAGCTTGAACAAGAAGAAACTGGCCGCCGTGGTCTGGGAATCCCGCAGGCTGGGAGTATTGCTGTACGCTGGTCATGCTTTTGTCTGCTCACAGCGTCTAGAGACCCTGCAGCAGAATTGCCAGGAGACTTGTGCCCTGCTCCAGGGGGTCATTGACAGTATGCGGGCCATGCAGCAGCCAGTGGAGTCTGGAGTGAGTGTCGCCCCCACCCCCCAGTCTCCTTGAACGTTCCCTTGACTTCCTTCTCTCCCATGTCCACCCACGCCTGTCGCTCCCAATTACAGGACACTGGCCAGCTGCTACAGCAGGCACAGTCCCTCATGCGGCAGGTGCTGGAGTCACCACAGCTGTCATGGTTGCAAAACCAGGGAAGCCTGGAACTGGCATGGCTGAAGCAGGGGATGCCAGAGGTGACCCTGAGCCCCGATCACAGGTAGATAGCAGCCCAGCTACCAGCTCCTACCCCAGCTCAGAGGCCTGTGTTTGTGTCAAGTACTCAACTGGCCCGCTCAGCACATGCTGGACCCGAGTCCCAGCACAGTAGAATGGAGAGAGGAGACTATGCTTTTCACAGGTCTGCAGTAGACAAGGCTGATGAGCTGTATGGTCAAGTGGATGGACTGCTGCATCAGCTAACTCTGCAGAGCAACCAGCGAATACAGGCCCTAGAGCTCCTCCAAACACTGGAAGCCCAGGAGGGCGGGCTGCATCAGGTGGGGGGAACTACTTATCCAGAGTGCGTCCTGCCCTTGGTGTTAGCTATCGCTCCCACTGTAGCAGCTGTCTTTGCTTTCCCCTGCTTGTGTCCATGCAGATTGAAGTGTGGCTGCAGGAGGTGGGCTGGCCAGGACTGGAGGAACCAGGGGAGCCCTCGCTGGACATGTTGCTCCAGGCCCAAGGCCCCTTTCAAGAGCTAGACAAAGCTGCCCAGGTAGGTTTGGTTACTTGTTCATTCTGCAGGGACTAGGATTGTGGCATGAGTGAGGGCAAACAAGCCTTTGTCTCTTGGAGGTTACCGTTCAGCAGAGATCAGTTGTAATCAAAGGTTCATAGTCATATGTATTTGCAAATGATGATAAGAACTCTGGAGAGAAGCAGCATGGAAGAATAATTTGGGATCAATCGGGCAAAAAAGAGTTAGGGATAGAGAGACAATCAAGGCTAGGAAATAGTATGTTCAAAAGTCCTGTGGCAGACAGCCAGGTGTAGTGATGCATGCCTTTAGTCCCAGCACTCAGGAAGCAGAGGCAGGAGGATTGCTGTACCAGGACTACATAGAGAAACACTATCTCCAAAAAAAAAAAAAAAAAAAAAAAAAAAGCCTTGTGGCAGGAGGAGAGTGGGGTGAAGTGAATCATTTGGAAGACTGATACCAGGAAAAAGCTTAACAAATTCTATAATCAGCTGGGCAATGGGCACACACCTTTAATTCCAGCACTGGGAGGCAGAGGCAGGAGGATCTCCGTGAGTTGAAGGCCAGCCTGGTCTACAGAGTGAGTTCCAGGACAGCTAGGGCTACACAGAGAAACCCTGTCTCAAAAAACCAAAAAAAAAAAAAAATTCTATAATCAGATCCATATTCTAGGAAGATGACTTTTGTTTCTGGGAAAATGGATGTAGGAAATCCAGTTTCAAGGTAACTAGTAGTCACTGTGGGACAATCATTTGTCTCTGGGTGTCTGTGGGGGGTTGGTTCCAGGATGTACCTTGGATACCCAAATGTGTGGATGCTCATGTCCCTGACATAAAAGGCCGTAGCATTTGCAGGTAGCCAATAGATATCCTTTCATACTTTTTAATAATTTCTCGATTAGCATAGCAGAGTGTGGATGCTATATAAATAGTTGCTAGATTGTACATTTGGAGAGTAATGATAGAGTCTTAATATGTTCATACAGGTACAATTTTCTCTCAAATACTAGTACAAAGTTACTTAAATCCATGAATGTAAAACCCACACATATGGAACCTAACAATATGGAGGGCCAACTGTAATATTTGGTCTGAGTAGAATGGCAGTAAAGATGGACTTGGAAAGTCTGTAGGACTTGATAATACAGCCATCCGAGAGGTGAGAGGACCCAGGGGATCGGGACATTTGGTGGAAGGCCTTCATGTGTCCAGTCTTAGCTGTGATTTTGGAATGTCTGTCAGGGAATGAGGAAGGACTTTGGGTTTTGGCCTTATAGAGAAGGTTATCTGTTGGTTATAGGTATGGGTGTTTTGGGGGGTTTGGTCACATGAGATTGTTTGGAAGGCCTCCAGAGCATTGTCCTCAGGATCCAGGTGAGGGAGAGTAGGAAGAACGATAGAGTCGAGCCCAGGAGAGAGAGGGCTGAGTACTGCTGAGGTGCAGATTCACAAGGCCTGAGAGAGAGCAGAGAGGGGGACTGGAGTGGGTAGAAGTCTGTGTGAGGGAGGTGATGTGTAGATGCCAGAGGAAGGATCTAACTCTGGGCTGGATCCCCAGCTGAGCCTATCTGTCTCTCCAGGAACAGGTCAAGCAAGGAGAGAAGTTACTGCAGCCACTGGTTGGCTGGGAAGCTGCTGAACTGGGGCCCCCTGGAAAGCGCTTTCTGACCCTGAGATCCCAGCTGACAGAATTTTCCAGAGCTTTGGCCCAGCGGCGCCAGCGGTTGGCAGATGCTGAGAAGCTGTTTCAGTTCTTCAAGCAGGTGGCTGAGGGGTCCTATCTCTGGCTTTGTGGAGGCTGCCCGGGCTCCACCGGAGTCTGAGTGCATCCTGTTTGGCTTGCTTGTTCTCCTCTCTTGCTCTCAGTCTTACCCAAAATTCAGCTTCTAGACTGTAGCCTGGGACCAACCTTCCTGAGCCAGCCAGGGGGTGGGACAGGGAGCACAGCAGAAGTCACTGCAGGCTTGCTGGGGTCCTGCTTTCATGTCTCTGTGGCCTTGGTATTGCAGGCCACAACATGGACTGAGGAGGGGCAGCGGGTACTGACAGAGCTGGAGCAGGAGCACCCAGGGGTTGTGCTGCAGCGGCTGCAGGTGCACTGGACCAGACATCCTGACTTGCCCCCTGCCCACTTCCGGAAAATGTGGGCTCTTGCCACAGGCCTAGGCTCAGAAGGCATCCGCCAGGAATGTCGATGGGCCTGGGCCCAGTGCCAGGACACCTGGCTGGCTCTGGATCAGAAGCTTGAGGCTGCACTGAAGCCACCATCAACAAACAGCACAGCTTCGTTGTGTGTCAGGCGGGCTCCTGCTGTACCCACCGTTCCTCCACTGAGGAAGGCCTACAGCTTTGATCGGAATCTGGGGCATGCCCATCATGGCCACTATGCAGCAGTTGTTACTGACTCCCACAGGCCCGAGGCTGGTGAAGGTGTCTGGCCCACGTCATCCCCTTCTGTGCCTCTATCAGGCAGCTCTGACTTCAGGAACCCCAACAGGTATAGGCAGAGGGCAGGGTAGGTGGGGAGTCAGTGAAGGGTCTTGGGTCCTGACTCCACCTACCTCATAGGCTGCAGCTAGTATTGGCAGAGATGGTGGCCACAGAGCGTGAGTATGTCCGGGCCCTTGACTACACCATGCAGAACTACTTCCCTGAGCTAGATCGACCTGATGTGCCCCAGGGCCTCCGTGGCCAGCGTGCCCACCTCTTTGGCAACCTTGAAAAGCTTCGGGATTTCCACTATCATTTCTTCCTGCGTGAGCTAGAGGCTTGTACCCAGCACCCACCTCGAGTGGCTTATGCTTTCCTGCGCCATGTAAGTTCCACAGGTCACATGAGCCCTATAGTGCTTCTGGACACATACTTAGTGCCAGGATCTGTGCAGAGAGTGCTACATCTCACTGAGTACTGTGAGGGAAAGCAAACTGTTACCAGGGTACAGCTCTGAGTGAGACCCACAAAAATCTCTGCTTCTTAGGGTGTGTTCAGTTCAGTAGGAGAGATGTACAAATAAAGATCATTCTAGGTTATACTTAGGATAGGAATAAGCAGGAAAATTGCCTATGAATTACATTTGGGCAGGGTTCCCAGTTTAAAGGAGAGGATGTTTGAGTAGAGGCCAGAGGAGGAGCAGAGAGTGAGTTCCACCCCCAGAAAAGAGGCCTAGTGGACATCATGAGCTTGCCTGAGTTTATAGTGAACACTGAAGTGATGGTATCAGACCTTGGGAGGGGCAGAGCTGAATGTGGAGGCTGTCTGTGGAGCCTGGACAGCTCCTGCATAGCATTGATTCCTGTTAGATTATACTCATTCAGAGTGGGATCGCAAGAGTAGGGAGAAGCTCCTTGCCCTGGAGCCACTTACTGGCACCTTTGTTCTCCTAAGCTAAGAAAGTGGCGGGGAATATCTTTTGGGAACTAGCCCTCTGGTACATGGGCTGAGCTGTGTGTCCTTGTAGAGGGTGCAGTTTGGGATGTATGCACTCTACAGCAAGAATAAACCTCGTTCTGATGCCTTGATGAGCAGCTATGGTCACACCTTCTTCAAGGTAGGAGCCTGCAACTATAGGAGCAGCAGGGGATGGGGGGCATACCCCAAAACCATTTTGTGATCTCCCACTTATGTGGCAGGAGAAGCAGCAAGCACTGGGAGATCACCTGGATTTGGCTTCCTACCTACTAAAGCCAATCCAGCGCATGAGCAAATATGCCTTACTACTGCAGGAGCTGGCAAGGGCCTGTGGGGGCCCAGCACAAGAGCTGGGTGCTCTTCAGGCAGCCCAGAGTCTTGTGCACTTCCAGCTGAGACATGGCAATGACCTGCTAGCCATGGATGCCATCCAGGGCTGTGATGTAAGTCATCCCAGGCCATGTGGGGAAGCACCTGGGATGTAGAAGAGGGGAGTGGGAGTGGCTGGACATCTCCTGGGCTTCAACTTTTCAGGTTAACCTCAAGGAACAGGGGCAGTTGGTACGACAGGATGAGTTCACAGTGCGGGCTGGGCGCCACACGTCCTGTCGCCGTGTTTTCCTCTTTGAGGAGCTGCTGCTCTTCAGCAAGCCTCGGCGTGGGCCTGCAGGTGTTGACATATTTACCTACAAGCGTTCCTTCAAAGTAAGTCCACATGACCCTGACCTCTGCCTCCAGTCCCCCATCTGTTCCTCACCAAACTCCTTTCCCCTGGCCATGTAGATGGCAGACCTTGGCCTCACTGAATGCTGTGGGGAAAGCAAACTGCGCTTTGAGATCTGGTTCCGTCGTCGCAAGGCCAGGGACCTGTTTGTACTGCAGGCCTCCAATGTGGCCACCAAACAAGCCTGGACAGCTGATATCTCCCGCCTGCTCTGGAGGCAGGCTATCCACAACAAGGGTGAGTCCTTGTACAATCCCAAAGAGTATATGTCCTCCCAGGAGCCTAAGCAGGGACACACTCTTTGGAAGAGAGTAAGGCCCCTAGAGTGTTTCCTGCAAGAGACTGGGATGTCTAGGGACTTGGAACGGCTTGGGAAGAGGGAGAGGTTGCAGCAGCAGCAGATAGTGCAGGGGAAAGAACAAAGTTTTCTCTGAGTATCAGAGGTCTTATGCTCTAAAAGGGACATTATGATAACTTTCTGAGGGGTGGTTGGGAGCAGAGAGTCTGGCATCAGAAAGGACCATGGTATAGGATGGTTAATTTCTGGGATATGGATATATATTAAATACAGCTTAGGGGGGCCTCACTTATGCTTTATTCTCTATTCAGAAATGCGCATGGCTGAGATGGCATCCATGGGTGTGGGGAACAAGGCCTTCTGGGACATTGCCCCCAGTGAGGAAGCTATCAATGACCGTAATATCAACTATGTCCTAAAGAGACGAGGTAGTGGACATCCTACAGGGGTGGGAGTGAGGAGTGAGGAAGCAATATGGCCTTTTATCACTCCTGGTGTGTGCCTCCCTGGCTATCTCAGGCCAGACTGGGCTCTGATCTGCCCCTCTTTCTTACACAGATGTTCGCTCTAGGGCCTCCATTGCTGTGGCCCCATTTGACTCTGACAACCCCTATCTGGGTGCCTTGGGCTCCCTTCCTGGAGACCGTGCCTCTTGCTCTGTTCTGGGGTCTCTCAATCTGCACCTGTACAGAGATCCAGCTCTTCTGGGTGTTCACTGCTCCCTGTATCCACCCAACTTCCCAGAGGAAGCAGCACTGGAAGCAGAAGCAGAGTTGGGCAGCCAGCCCTCTTTAAGTATGTGTGGGCTTGTCAGAGGTAGGAGGCGTGGCTTGGGTCTGGGCCTCCCCTCCTGACAACCCAGTCCTCTTCCCTAGCTCCTGAGGACTCAGAGGTCTCATCCCAGTGCCCATCAGCCAGTGGCTCTAGCAGTTCTGACAGCAGCTGTGTGTCAGGGCAGACCCTGGGCAGAGGCCTTGAGGACTTGTCCTATGTGAGTGCCATCTTTTGCCCTATACCCACCAGCCCCTCCCTAACCTACCCTGGGCCTGGAAATGGGTGGGTCAGAGCCATTCCCCAGAGGACCCCATCTCCACTCTCAGAACCAGAAAAGCAAAGCATTCATGCTTGACTTGGTACCATAGGTTTGAGTCCGGCTTGAAGATGGAACAGTAGACACAGCAGCCAGAAACTCCAAGGAATACCACACCTCTGTATCTACTATAACCAGTGAATGGCTGGCTCCTGGGCCACTGTGTTCCCACCCCTCATATCCAATAGGAATAGCCTTGTTGATTATCCTTTCTGATGTTTATATTAGTCACCAACTGACTGGCCTAGGGCCTTTCCAAGGGCATCTGGCTGCAAAGCCTAGATAAGCACCTTGATCCCAAGCTCCTGGGATCCTTCTCCTATCCCCTCCCTACCACCCTAGTTATAAGTTAAGGATAGGATGGGCAGAAGTTGAGTATTTCCAAACTCTAGGCTGGTATCATGAGGGACACAAGTGGGTTCCCAGCAGCTGCTCCTCACCCCTTGCACTTAATGCTGATCTCTCCAAACAAACACAGGAGCTAGCCTGCCCCATATATAGGCCCCTTATTCTTGAATTTGTTGGCTTCCCATCTCTAGCTTCTTGGTTTTTTGGGCCATCTTGGTCAGTTTGACTTGATGCTTTTTGAACAGCTTTCAGTTAGACTTATCTACTGGTTTCACTGGTTATTGATGCTCAGTCTTCTCAGAGAAGGAGTCCAAGCATTTGTCTTGTGGTTTACTCTTTTATTTTTTTATAATAAAAAATAGAGTGATTTGTATCAGTGGCTGGGTATGTGCATTCTGGGGATATCCACAGTTAAAATGAGCCTTGGGCAAGTGCTGGTGGTCTGTGGGACCAACATCTGTGGGTACTCTAACCCTCTTGTAAATACTTGCCCAGGACTGAGTACGAGACAGACCTAGACAGTCCCCTCTGGATGAGCAGGTCCATGCAACGGCCATATTTTCTGGCAAAAGGCAGTGTGAGCTGCAAGGAAAGGCCTTTCTTATCCCTGATTTCTAGGCCAGTCACCTATTTTAGCTCTCTGAGGGGGATTCCCTCATTTGGGTAGGGAAAAACAAAGAGAAAGCCTCATTATAGGGACCTTTGGTACTCTGGGGCTCAGTTCTACGCTAAAGCATCTCACAGGGCTCTGGCTACCAGAGAACTGACCACAATGACAATAAAAAAGTGCTTCCTGATGCTCGTGTCCACTTCCTAGCTGTAGATGCTGACTTTACCTTTATAAACAACATACAAGCTAGAGAGCTACCAGTAACTGGGCAATCATGTATTTAAGGTGGATGTCATCATTGTTATGTACTTGATTATAAAAAGCCAGGTTACTGAGAAATTTGCTAAATCTTTCACACACAATGCTGAAATTATTCTACAGAATCAGGAAAGAAAAAATATTAATCTTGATTGGTCTACAAAATGAGTTCAAGGCCCAAGTAGGCAGCATAGCTAAACTGTGTACTTGCTTGGGTTGCATGATGCCAAGATTTCAATGCCCTATGCAGTAAAAACAAAATAAATGGGAGTGAGGATTCTCAAACCTTGACCACTCTTTTGCCTTTTTTTTTTCTTTCTTTAAAAAATTATTTTCGCTAGGCGGTGGTGGCGCACGCCTTTAATCCCAGCACTTGGGAGGCAAAGGCAGGCGGATCTCTGTGAGTTTGAGGCCAGCCAGGTCTACAGAGTGAGTTCCAGGAAAGGTGCAAAGCTACACAGAGAAACCCTGTCTCAAAAAAAAACAAAAACAACAAAAAAATTGTTTTCAGTCAAGCATGGTAGTGTAGGCCTTTAATCCCAGCACTGGGAAGAACAGGCAGACTGATCTCTGTGTGTTTGAGGTCAGCCTGACCTACATAGTAAGCTTTAGGACATCCAGGGATATATAGGGAGACCCTATCTCAGCCCCCTACCCCCCCAAAAAGCTTTTAGAGAATGCTTTAGGGGCTGGGAAGATTGCTTTGTGGTTAAGAAAGAGCACTTGTTGCTCTAGCAGAGAACTGGGATTTGATTTCCAATGTCCACATGGTGGCTAACAATTGTAACTCCCGTTTCCTAGGGTCCAACACCTTCTTCTGGCCCACTGCATGCACACAGTGCACAAAATTTCATGTAGGCAAAATACCCATATACATAAAAAATAAATCCTAAAAAATTCTGTAGAGGAGCTTAAGTACAAAAAATATGGCGATACCTGAGTAGGGAACTAGCTATTACTAGCTGTAGAAGCCTAACTCCATGTCCATGTGCTTGAGTTAACATGTGCTTTCCAACTATGGCCAAGGTTGTTAGTGGTGAAGGGATAGTTGGTGCCATTAAAGGAAAACTATGAAAACGGGTTTCCTAAATGTTACTTTTTTACTAGTCTTGATTGGTTAATTTCAGCCATCTACCTCCACGGGACCAGAGACCACTGACTTAGCTGGCTAGCTTTCTAGATGACAGTACTAGCCTGGCAGCAACAGTCTCCATATGAGGCATTCAGAGAGTTGCCGTTCCCTATACAGGGCAGATAGGCCTCACCTCTACCCAGCTGTACAGACGCTCCTGAGTGTGCCGATCATCCTTGAAGCCAGTGATGGCCAGCAAATCCACCACAAACTGCTTGGGGCTGATGTTCAGCGTCTACCAAGAGAGCCTATAGTCAAGCAGGGCCATGACCTGCTCCCAGCTTCTTCATTCTTATCCCCGCCTTTCCAGCTACTCTTCTGTCCCTGGCTTCTCTCCCTCATCCTCTTGTCTTATACTACTTATTGCAAGGGCAAGGAGCTATGTGGAGAAGAGATAGGGTGCCCCAAGGCCTGTCGTACATACCCACAGCCGGTAGGCCAGGGACACCACCTTGGCTGTGATAGCTTTGGGGTCCTTTTGCCTGATGGAATCCAGGATGATGTCAGTCAGGAAGCGGTGACATTTCTGTGCATAAAACATCTCTTCCCAGGACAAAGAGAAACTCAGGAAAGTCACTTCTGTAAAGGAGAAAGAGTAGATATGGCTAAAGCTGCCCACAGCTGAGGCCTTAGAAATAACCAGAGAGCAGGGAGAAGTGTAGAGCTCTCGAGGGACATTCACTCCTAAGTCCTGGGTGTGCATCTTCACAAGCAAAGTACAGGGCCAGGCATGGCTCCAAAGCCTCACCTCGAGGTTGGGGGCTGGCTGCAAGTGGGGTATGCTTGATGTTATCCATCTGGGTGGTGTAGATGATGCTGTCTTCAAAGAACATGCAAGAGCCATCACTACCCACCACAGGGGGGTGAGTCACTTTGAGGATGGCCCCTGGGTTGTCTATCCCATTAACATTAGGCAGAGGCTGCTCAGGGGCAAGGTTTTCTGTGAAAACAATAAAAGGGGGTTCTTCTTAAGCTCGGGAGCCTACGCTTGGAATGCAAGCAGAGAGGAGTCTTCTGGTGACAGATCAGTATATTCATTCACTCAGAACTTCAGAAGTCACCTGCTTTTTGGAAGTGGTACCCTGGCCTCACCACTTCATTGTCCTGGCATTGTTGCAAACCCAATCCTAAGTTTCAGAACTCTAAGAAACTTCAAGTTAAGACTAGTGTCCTCATGGGAGAACTGCCCTTTCCTAAATAGAAATGGATAGGAGTGGTTTGGGGGGTGGGCGGCAGGGAAACTGCGGCTGGGATATAAAACAAACAAACAAACAAATAAATACATTTTTAAAAGAAGAGTAGTACCAAATGTGACCAGTAAAAGCCCCGTAGAAGACTTGGAAGCTATGAAATGAAGAAGTGATCAGACCTTTCTGGGCAGACCTTTCATGTTTCTCTACTCTGGAAGAATAGGATATGTTACCCCAAAGCTTTACCAGCAAACTTACGATTCACAGAGTCCATGAAGGCACCTCTAAGCAGGACCCAGGTTACTAGAAGGGAAGGTGATAAGAGTGCCAGAGTACCAGAGGAGGGAGTTCTGGAGATAGAGGGAATAATCTAACATGGCCCTTCTCAGCAAACTTCCCTGGGTTTTCTCCCCCAACTGGCCCCAAACTGTCTTAAGCTCAGTCCCCATAGGCCCTCCTGGATGGGCCTTAGCATCTCACATGCCATGTGTGCTTTTCCCAGAGGTCTAGTTTCTTTTGTTCACCCACTTCAATGAAGACCCTTCCACTTGCCATAACCAACCCAGATACCAGGCCACTTGGCACCTCTATCTTCCTGCCTTCCTCCACTGCTCAGTCTCCTTAACCCGTCTGGAATACACCCATGCTGCTGATACTTAGCCTCCTATGAACACACTTCCTCTGTCCCCGAGCAAGCTTCAGAAACATATACCCGATCATGTGCTCCCCTTTAAAAAAATCCGTCAGGGGTTGTCCATCCCTAGTAAGGTCAGAACAGAGCACCACATTCTTATCTTGGCCCACAAGACCTAGCCTGATGACTCCTGTCTTGAGCATCATTTCTACAGCTTATATACTGGAAACAAGGCTTCCAGCTAGAGCAGTGCCCTGTGCTTCCACAAACACCCTAACTGTTCTCTTCCTGCTGACTCCCCAATGACCGGCCTCTTGTGTTCCCATTTCCTGGGATCTCCTTTCACAAAATGCTCATCACTTCACCTCACGTGACCACTCATTCTGTATATGCTGCCTGTCATAGAGCTGCATCAATGATCTGGAAGTTCTGGTCCCTGCTCTGTCACTAACTCTCTGGTCTTAGCCAGGAAATCTGGTATCTGTTGAAAATGAGACTTGAATCAAGGATGGGGCAAGACTCACCTCTCTCCTTGGGCCTCTGCTTGCCCCAGTCCTTTAGGGTGACAGCTCTTTTTGTGGGGAAGTATGGCTTAAAAGTTGGCTCTGGACCCTTGTCTTTCACTCCAGCTCCAGGCCCAGTCTGGGGACCAGTATCCTTCTCTGAGGTTATGGAATGAGCTTTCCAGGCACCTGAGGTACCAGGTTGGGAAGTAGCCTCACTTCCTGCAGGGACATGCAGGGTAGCTTCCTCCAAAGAGCTGCTCCGGGAGACTGTCAGTGGCTGGAATTCCCACTGTTTACAGTTGACCATGTCCCATTCCCTTACCAAAGATATGAGTTTTTGCATGGGGGTGACAGGAGGGTCTTTGGCATCAGATTTCTGTGTGAGGTTTATAGTGGGGCACTTCTTCTTGGGAGGACTCTCAGAGTGACCTCCCCAGTGTCTGGGGTTGGCACATAAGCCAGAACAGTGTGAGTATGTGCTGGGATTGC